AGCTTTCGTTTCTTTGCCATCTACTTGGTTGTATATATATATATATATATATATATATATATATGTATAGTATTCGTACGAGATTAGTTTTTGTTGGTTCTGAATTGGAAGAAAGAAATCCTAGAGTATGTTGATATGTATAGTGCCCACTAGCTAGGTTGTAGAATAGTTTATACAACATAGGAATGCTGATTAGGAAGAGAAGTCCAAAAAAAGATTGAGATAGACATTAGGAAGCAACCTCAAAAGTATGTTGCATGATAAATACTGTATTTCTTTTACAGCCCCAATAATATAATATTAGTAAATAATCTTGTTTGTAGTAATTTGTATATGTTATGACAGGTGTGTCCATGGAAAGTGTGTGGCGTACATGACAAATTTTCTTTTACCGAACAGGAGTTAAAAATTATACTCCGTAATTTGTATGAGAGATATGTCATTTCACCGAACAGGTAGGTAGGTGTATTAATTTTGGTGGGAAGATGTAAATTATGGAGTATTATTTGAAATTTGATAATTCCCGTCAGAGCCATGTGTAAATTACAGGCCGCATCTTTTCTACTTTGATTTAACATGCTATTATTATTATTATTATTATAATTACTCTTCAATCCCATATGATTTCTCAAGATTTATTTATGATTCAAACATATGAAATACGTGCTTGGTGCATAATGGGAACTCAATATTTTCCATCACTATATTTGTATGACAATACCATATTTCCAAGTCCAACAAATGATATTGTTTGGGGGTTGAAGGGAAGAGGGACAAAAGAACCCCACCCCGAAAGGTCTATCTAAATATTCATCACTACAAGCAAACTTGTGTTTTGTGTAAACAAACTAGAGAGAGAGAGAGAGAGAGAGCCTCCCATTTCCCATCTTAATACTATACTACTAGTGTATATAGCTAGCAGAAGCACGAATAGGCAAAGTGGTTCTTTTTTGAGACGTAATGAGATACGTAGTCTGTTGAAGAAGCAGAGGAACCAGAAATATGAGCAGGAACTAGTATTTGAGTCTTCCCAGAGGCGATTCTCTTGCCAGCCACATTCGCATAAAAGAGACCTGAGATGGCTGGTACAAATACGTCACTCTCAGAACACATGTAGAAGTCGATAACTTTCTCCACTTCAGAATTCTCCATATCAAGAAATCTCGCCTTTTTGTCCATGGGCATTATGCTTTCCTGCAATTGCAATTCAAAGTGAAGAGTCAAGACTAAACACATTACACACAAGATATATTTGGAAGTTTCACTTTACCTTGGTGTATGTTCTAGGAAAGAGATCCTTTAATGCATCAAGGCTGTTATCCCACCTAGATTGAGTAAGATATATAGTTGTATCTTTGTTGAAACCAATTTTTCTCAGAAACATGGCTATCTCCTGTGGACCATAGCAAGCACTGTTTCCTTGGCAACCCTTTTTCTCCAGCATATCAACCCTTAGATCCACCGCGATAAACTGTCCGTTTGACTTCCTGCTCAGAGTTTTTAAGCGCTCCACCATAGATTCAACTACTCCATTAACTTCAGGCTGAAGCTCTAGAGTTCCAAACATCCCCAAACATGCAATTGAGTCGATGTTGCTGTTCTCTTTCGTTTTTTTCATGTTTACTGAGGGAAAATACGTGGCGAGCCTAATGTTCCCCTTTGATCTGAAAATTGGCTCGATGTTATCAGTAATATATTCTTCAGTAACCCTGCTAGGAACCTTCACAACTGGTCCTGTGATGACTTTAGAGGGGAGAGATTTTGCTACTTTTACTACCCCATCAAGTTTTTTCACAAACTGCTCAACATCATAGACATGTTCAAATTTCCTGTAAACATGTCAATAGTGTGAATTTGAAACAATTTGAGAAGAGTATTATTCTAAACTCGACTCGAACTGACCTTTGTTCACCACTTCGTCCTCTTATGTCGGGGAGTAGGAGAGTTGCTCGCAGATATCTAGCTATTACGACGGCATCAGCAATCTAAAAGTTGAAAGTAAATACTAATTAGTATAGTATCCATTATTTATGGTTGAAGGTGAAACAAATAAATAATACCTGAGAGAGGTGATATTCAGGACCATTAGTGAGGGAGAAGGTAACATATCCTTGTGATTCATCAGGTTCCCCTGTTACAAAGATTATTAAAAAAACTAATACTACTAGTGCCTAGTGGAGCGTGAATATAAGTGTGATAGATCTCTCACCGAGAAGTTGTTTAGACCAACAGGAGGTTAGGGATTGGGCATCCTGTTTCCAAGGTCCAACTCCATTGGTAAGTAGACTTTGCTTTCTAGTAGCATGAATTGAATCCACCTAAATTCATAGATAGATAGATAGATAGATAGATAGATCTGTAAATAGAAATAGAATTGAACAAGAGTAGAGCATGAAATAGAAGAATGAAGAAGAGTTGATTACAGGAAGAGAATCAAAGTGGTCCCTTTTGATCATGTCTCCGAGCATAACGAACATAGTGATAGTAAGAACTCCAGCCAAAACTTGCCTCGCGTCCATAGTGATTCTGCTGAAGAAATGATATGATAATATTATTATTATATATAGAAGGAACCTAAAACAAAACACCCGCACTCCAACAATGTTTACATTAATATTTATTTATTTATTCTTTTAACATTTTACTTTACTACGATATACTCCATGTGTCCGTGAGTTGGGTAGGGTAGGGTCCAGACTCCAGACCCCAGAAGAGCGAGCAATGTTTAGTGTTGGAGTAAGTTAAAAGTGTGTCGGGTGGCTCTCCTGCCACCGACACCTTCTCCTAATAATAAATAAACCTAATAATTTTATTATTACTATACTTTGGCCTTTGAGTAATGTTCTAACCTAACAAAAACATTTCATTTACCAAGCTAATTAATACATCAACATCTTCTATATTGTTTAACACTAAATATAATCTGCCTAAATTTTAAAAATTATACTTTGAATTACTAATGTTTTATAAATTTTAAAATATAATAGAATATTAATGTGAGATTGTGCATGTAGAGGGTGGGTATGAGCGAATGACAGAGAGAAAAAATGAGTCCACTTCACACTCTCCTGACTTACCTGACTCAACTTGCCACTTTCTACATTTCCAGTTTCAATACTCATCCTATAGTTTGATTTTGATATAAAGTTTTAAGAAAATAAAATATACTTTTTTAATTTTAAACTGAAATTACATATTAAAATGTTATTTAATTTTGTAATTGTTATATGAAAAGTTAAAATTAAAAAAATCATTATTGCTTTTTTTAAATGGCACAAGTATAGAAAAGATTGAAACACGACAAACTATTATTATTATTATATTATGAATTGGTTTGGATGTAATAATTGACTAATTCACTCATCTTTCCTTCCATCAATTATTGCTTTGATTCAGTTACAGTTTGTACTTGTAACTTGCTCTTTCAATAGTATTTGATGATTGAGGAAATATATAAATGAGATGTGGTCCATTTCATATTACTAAAACTTTAGAAATAGAGATCGAGTGTCAGGATTTTAATTTAGTAATCAAGTAGATCCGTAAATTTTAAATATCTAATAAATAATTTTGATATTTAAGAATTAAGGAGCTGGAATATTCGGGAGTATCAATAAAATCATACTACAAGACTTTAGCGAAGGTGATGGATAACTGAAGCAATTTGGCAGTAATTAATTAATACTCACTCTATAAGAAAGGAGAAGATTATGGCGTAATTAAAGGAAAGTCAATTCTTTTATTTATTCAAACCAATGGACGACTGCAAGTGGATCTCAACTAAAAATATATTCTCTTAACTATTTCTAATTAATCAAACAAAACTTGGATTTATTCTTGTAACCCTCTTCTTTTTCAAAAAAAAAAAAAAACAAACCAATTTCATTTTCTAATTAACTGGGCCACGTTTTAAACCTATACTATAATAAAATAGATAAAGTTGAATGTAGAATTAATGTGCCGACAACAAATAGCATAGGCGCTAAAATAAAGGTCCATTTCGAATCACGAAAATGCTATATTTTCTTCCTCCTTTTATATATCCACTCAATTTTTATGTGACAAATTAAAATAAACGAAGAGAGTATTCATTTTTCTCAATCACTATTAGGGATCGTTTGGTTTTTTATAGGATGATTAAGGGATAATAACCTCAAGATTATTTTATCTCATCATTTATACTATAATAGTGAAAAAAGTTTATCATATATATGAATCTCATGCGATATCCAATCCATATCCATAAAATAGCTTTGGTTACCAAAAAATCCACTAAAGATTATTATTAATTTCCTCACTTGTACAAGCAAGTGATGTCATTTGGCTCTTTTTGTCTCAATGACTATAATTTGATTGATGGCTTTGTCCTTGATTTAGTATTGAGTATGGTTCACGAAGTCGTAAATGGAGTATAAAAACAATTAATCTATATTATTAGGACATTAATAATCTTGATTCTGATCCCAATTTTACATCCGGAATTAAAGGAAGGTGTTCCAATTAAAATTGGTAGTTGAGCTACAACTGGATTTTAGTTAGAAAAAGCAAAACTAATTTTCCAAAGCAACATACACCATTTCTTGGTTTCCCCCCTCAAACTATTTACACTACGTATAACAACAACGAGACTTATTTTTCTTTTTAGGTTCTCTCTTTAATGTAGCGTTTCTTTTTACTTGTCATCCATAATTGACGTACAAAAACAAAGAGAAATAAGCCCATAGTCTCTTTTGATTTTCCATGCTACTGCATAAAAAGAGTGGAAACCAAATAAAAAAATGTCTTCCAACACATTAGTATTGCCTTTTTCTTTCTTTTTTTCCCCAACACAACTCTAGAGAGAGTTACCAACTAATTAAGCTTTTGTGGAGTCTTAAACAACATGTTCCTTCCTTCTTCCACCACATGCATTTACATTCTCGCTCACCTACCCTGATGAAAAATAACATTGAGAAAATTAATACATGCAATTGATAACTGCACAACCATCGGGATAAATATGATTCTTCACAGTCCTCTGTGCTCCATCTTTTTCACTTGTTTCACCTTTTCAAAATCTGCACCATGGAAATTCTTTTCTACTTCCCAGGCAAATTGAGACATGCAGTTGAAAGATGATTTTGCACCCTTCTCATCTGTAACTTCTCTCGGAAAAGGGATACGAGCTTCAAATACATCATTCAGAGGAGACTTGAACCGGACATCAAAACCTAATCTATCAACCCAAAGCATCTTGCCATCGCAAACCTGCAAGAAAAGAAATAAGTCAGGCTGAAGAAAAACCAGTTCAAAATCGTAACATACTTCTTTAGAGTACACAACAGACTAGGAAAACATTACATTCCTTGACCTGGAGCAAAACAACAACAACATGCTCAGTGTAGTCCCACAAGTGGGGTCTGGGGAGGGTAAGATGTACGCAGATCTTACATCTACCTTTGTGGGGTTAGAGAGGATGTTTCAGATAGATAGACCCTCTGCTCAAAAGAGAAGATGTTCGAACATGGTTGCAAGAAAATATTTAGATACAAAGAAAATGAAGCAACACATAGTAAAACACCATGAAGAATAAAAAACTACGCGATTACTAAAAACTACTACTGTTAAGGCTGCGGGGAGATAGGGCTAGCCTCCTGGCTTTCCCATCTAAAGGCGACAACACTCAAAAAGCTGAAGTTGTGTCATATCTTATCTAATCACCTCCCCCAATTCTTCTTCGGCCTACCTCTACCTCACTTAACTCCTGCTACAACCAACTTCTCACACCTCCTTACTGGCACATCCGTGCACCTACTCTTCACATGCCCAAACCATCTTAGCTTGCTTCCCTAACCCGGAGCACATATCAAATATGTAAACAATTAAGCATTCTACTAGACTACTAGGTAATGGATAACATTGCATGTCAATCTAAACTAAGAGAGCTTTTATTTGGTGAAAATGGAACATGGAGAAAATGACCAAATTGTACCTATCAAACTAGAAAAGAGAGTGAGACAACGATCAAACAGGAACTCTTGAGCCAGGTAAAAAGGCACATTATCAACTGCTAATGTGAACCTAGGGCCATCACGATGCCACTGCTAATCCTATTTCATGACCCAAAGCCTAAGCTCTGAGAAGTTTGATCATGTATGACCAGTGATTAGATTTACCAAAAGTTCTTTGTATATATATATCACTCTTGGAACTCTGATTGTTATTTATCTACAGTTATAATCTACAGTTCAACGATGGTCTATATGCCCTTACCCTAAAATTATTTTCTGGATCATGGGTTTATTAATATTCCACTGTCCCAAAAATGCTGTCCTGCTTTACTTTCTCAGTTATTCCAAACATTCTCTACCTTTCTAAGGTGGACAATGATAAATATCTTTCTCAACAGAATTTGGTCCTATAATTTGTTCTTCTCTTAACAAGAAAAGTCAAAAGTATGGTCGCGGGTATTTAGAACAAACATGGAACAACTCAAATTTACCGAGAAATTTATTGTTTCCAATCTCAAATTTTGATGGATAATGGGTTGGTCCCACTACCCTCCTTGAAGCAGAAATTTTTTTTTCACCTAGACCAATTATACTAAAAAACAGAACAAAAGTGAAAATTTTAAACTAAATTGGGAGTAAGAGAAAGTCATAATGTTAGGTTCATTACATACCTGGAAATCCAAATCTACATAGATGTTGCAAAACCGTAAGATGTCTTCCCTATTGTTAGTATTTATCTCGTCAATCATTCTTTCTGCAAAGTCTCGAAGAGGATCAGGGTTCGCTGACTTATAGTCTGATGAAGTGACCCAAATTCCATCCTGAAAGTATATCTCGTATAATTATCATTAATGTAACTGCACAATCAGTAATCAGCATGAACTACTATTCAGGGCAAAAAAATAGACTTGAATGGCTGCTTGGTATGGATAATGTAAATTTTTTTCTCACATATTTAAATACATGCTCTTACATAATTGACTTTAACTAACTTGTGTTCAAATGATAAGTAGGGTTACTAATACAAGTTGAATTATTTTTTATAACATATATACACTAACCAAACTTGCTTTCAATATGGAGATAAAAAAAGGTAAAACAATCTCTACTGAAGAAGACAAAACAAATCTATAAGTGGCCAATGGAAATCAACGAGATAAAGCATTCTTCATAGAAAATAGACTACAAACCTCTGCAAAATCTTCAATCTGAAGTACCCGTTCCACAGAAAGCAAAAATAAGCGATCCTCATCTACTTCATGCCCAAATTTTTTTTCCCAAACTGAATGAAGCTTCTAAAAGAAGAAACTTTAGTGTCATCAATGGAGAGTTCAGATTATCATGGAAGAAGGAAACTTGATAAAATTCATCACTAACGAAGCACCAGCTTATAACATATAACATTGTTGAAATTGGAGAAAAAAGAAGTGCACAGATTACTACTGTCAACAGCACACAATTCGTTGAAAAATAGTGAATACCATGCCCGGAGATAAATTTATCAGATCATATCATGAATATGTGATTGTGTATTTATTTCTTTCTAAATGACAATACTTTTTCCTACACTAGCAAAGCGTTGAAGAAGAGAAGGGTGGAATGAATAGGTGGTAAATCCTATATTTCATCACGTATACTGGAAATTAAAACTCTAGTGCGTGCTTATCACTCCCTCTATGTAAGTATTGAGATCCTAATTAATTTGAAAAGTAGTGTTGAGTTTAACCTTGGTGGAGCAGTGGAGGAAAAAGGGGAGGTGTAAATTGGATAATCCTTATCTGACCTTCAAAGCTGTGGTATCTTGTGGTTTTTGTAGTGTCCCCTGTATGGTGCACTGTGGAGTCCGCAACCCATATTGTTGCAACTGATATATCAAGTGGGTTAGATGAAATAGAGATATGGGAAAAAGCACAAAAAGTGAGTGAGAGAGAGAGAGAGATGTGACCTGAACAAGGAAGCTAGACTTGGAATTGAGAGCGAAACTGGAAGTTGAGTGATTGAGAAAGAGTACTGGAGTGCCATGAGGGTCAACAGCGAAACGTACACCAATACCTAAAGGCCAACCATCTTGGGTCGGGGTGGATAAAGTGCCATCTGAAGATAATTCCAGAATTGTTCTCGATACCTCAGCTGGGAATGGTTTGCCATTGTTGGTTAGAATTGGCTCAGAGACAACCGAAACTGCACACCCAATTGAAAATCTTGAACGTAGATTCAGCTTCGTTTTTGGGAACGTCAATTGACTTCCAATTCCAATTTTAGAGACATGAGTCCATAGGGAAAGAGTTGAAGTTGGAAGGTGGCTCGCCATTCCCTTTCTTCTCAACTCAAAAGGATTGGGACAACAAATTATGCCAAATCCAGCCTGGGGACACAAATTTTATTTTATTTTTTGGGTAAAAGAGACTCATTTTGTCTCAAAACTAAAGGATTATTTTTACACCTGTTTATTTTTATTTTTCAAGTGAAGAATTGTCGAGCTTTTAAAAATATTTCGCTTTGTTAACTGACTAGGAAACTTGGCTAATTTAAAATGAACTTTTTTATAAAATTAAGTAGAAATAAAAGGACGAATTCTATTTTGGTTTGAGTCGAGATTTGTGTTTCCACTTAAATAAAATAATTAAGAAAAAAAATAATATCTTCATATTAAGTTGACATCAGAGAAAACGATTAAGTTTTTTTTAAAAACAAATTGGCATAATAATGCTATAACATTTTTAAAAATCGAATTACCAAATTAAGGTTTTAATACAATATCGTGTCCATTCCCAATTAACTTTAATTCAAACACAATATCATTCATACATGAAAGTAATTAACTATTATTTAAAAATCAATCGAAGAACCAAATAGGCAATATAATTCACGGATTTTAATCAATTTCATACCAATAAAGAAATTCTGAATACATTATTTATGATAGCTCCCATAATATTTATTGAAAAAATTTACCTCTAATAATTTATAATTTCTTAAAAAAAAAAAAGCTAAAATTCTTAACCTAAAGTAATCTAAGAAGAGAATCTTATTTTCGATTCCAATAAAAAGAATTCATCTAATTAAGTATTTTCTTTAAATTGGGCATAATTCAAAAAATTTATTTTATAGAAGTACAAAAAAGATACTCAAAAATCTATATACCAATAACTAATATGTTAAAATAAATAAATAAAAGAAAGTAAAAAGAACAAAAAATGGAAGAAAAGGGTAATTTAAGGAAATATAAATAACATTGATGACGAGATTAAGGGGAAAAAATTAATAGCATTAATGATGAAATGATTTAAAATTTGGAAAAATGCAAAATAGATAAATTTTCAAGACAAATTTTTGAGAAATTTTTTTAAAAAAAAAAAAATATAAGAGAAAACGTAAAAATTGTTTTGATAAAATTAAATAATATTTGAATTAAGAAGAGTGTCATCATTTTCTATTTTTAACTTTATTATTTGGTATGGATATAATCGTATAGATCTTTAGCAGAAAAGATGATCTAATTTTTTATAAAAAATAAAATCAAATTACGTTAAGAAATATTAATATATATTTTACAAAACTATAATAACTCATTCCTTGTAATAAATAAATAAAAGAAAGTAATTTTAAAAAAAATGATTTAAGGAAATGATACAAATGACATTAATTATCAGATTAAGGTAAGGAAGTAAGAAAATTAGTGTGATTGTTGATGAACAAAATTAAATATGGTTACCTTTGTTATTTTTGTAAAATTTTAAAGTGAGACTTTTAGTCTTTTAAAATTAAAAAAATGTCAACAAATTAAAGTATAATTAAAGATAAAAAAAAAAATAAAAAAAAACAAACATTAATTAAAGGTGGTACATAAGGAAAAAAAGGGGAAAAATTAAATAATTTTTTAAAAAAAGAACAAAATTAGAAGAATAAAGAATGGAAAGAAATAATGTGAGCACTAATTTAGGATCCTCTCAGATTATAATTCACAATATAAATTTCTTCTTATTCTCCTACTAATTTAATATGAATTTAATGAATAAATTGATTTTTTCTCTAAATAATTCTTCTTATCATTCATTATTTTTTCTATAAGTTTTCGATCATAATGATTTTTTTTTCTCAATAAAAAATTTCTTGTAGAAAACAATATAGTGCAACATCCTTCAAAAAAAACATTCTTTTTTAAGTCAAATATTTATTACATGACTTTTCTTCTTATATCAATATCTTGAAGAATTATGAGATATTCGCTCTTTCTTTGTTCATAAAGAAATCATATTCTATCATCAGAAGAAGAAGTGATAAAGTTAAGGTGTCCATTTTTGTTGATTTTAATACTTCATTTTTTTATTTATTTTGTAGGCAATATAAATATAAATATTTGTAATTGTACAATGATTTTGAAATGTAAGATTCTTAACATATTTTAGATTCCTAATAATTTTATTTTTTGCGCTTTTTTGGTCTTGATTATTAATTTTTTTATTTCTTTTATCCTTAAGTTTTGAATACATAATTATATGCTCAGTTATTAGTAATATATTTGATTTTTTTATAAAAAAAATGGCGCAATTTGTAGTTAGTCGATCATATAGAATATCATACTAAACAAGATATTAGATTAATTCTTGCATAAAATTAATTTCAATTTTCGGATATCTAATGCTTACCGTCAATGATCTGATTATTATTTTACACTAAAGTCGACGAAATTTTGTCCATTCTGAGATCTTTTCTCTTAATCTCTAAATTTGCTTCCAATGAGTTTTGTTGTTTCTGTTTTTCTTTTTTCGGTACTTGTTATCCTTCTCCCCTTCTTGATTTTTCTTTTATTTATTTGGTATGTTGTTGAATTTTTTTCTGTTTGATACGTGCATGTTCAATGAAACTTGTTTGATATTCCTGAAAAGTTAAAAAGTAAAGAAATGAAGAAAAACAATTAAAACAAAGAAGATGTTTGAAAGACAATCATAAAAAGAAATGAAATATTGAGAAAGGAGCTAATCAAACCATGATTTTTTCTACACTCCATCAATAATGAACACATCAATATCAGTTGGTGAATAACTTTTACCATATTTTTAAAAATGATTTGTGATTATCTACCCTATCTATATATAATGTAAAGAGAAACATAGACAAGGTGATGTGGCACCTCTCTATGACCTTCATTCTTTTTTCTACTTTTTTGAGATTATTTTTCTTAATTCTTTTCATTAATTCTTTTATTTATTAAATAAAAAAAACAATCATATTTACTATTCTAATTTAATCTAATGAGTTACAAAAAACCTCCATCTATTCATATTCTCTACTTAAATAACATGTCTCTTCAACTTATTCTTATGCTTATCAAATCCATAAATTACAATCATCTAAGGAGTTGTTGATTATTCATTTTTCATTTTTCATTTTTCTCATTCTTACTTTTTATTAGTGTAGTTTTTTTCTCATTCTTTCTTTTTATTAGTGTAGTTTTTCTCTCATTCTTTCTTTCTAATAGTGTGGTTTTTTTTTCTCTTTTAAAAAAAATAAAAATTATTCTTCATCTTTTCCATAAGAAATCATAGAAAAGATAGTGACATGATATGTTCTTCACTTTGAAGAAGATCAAAGATATATTCTTCAAATATTCAATATAAAGAGATCAATGCTCACATTAATTAGTACAAGATCATCAAAATGAAGAAGGAAGTTTAATTATGTTGAAAGATTCATCAAGAGAGATGATCATATTAGTATAAAGTAAATGAAGTTGCACCTCTCTTTGGCCAAAGATTCTATTTATCTTTTTTCCACAATTTTTCATATTTTTCTATTTATAGTACAAAAAATAAATATATCAATTACTACTCCTCTATTTATTGTTATACTTAAATATCTGAAAAATTATTTATACTCATTATTATTCTTTGTTACAAAAAATTAAAAGTCTCAATATTTACTACTTTAATATTTCAAGACATTTGTCTATTTTTTTATTGTATTTTTTTTTCGTCTTTCACTTTTGTTAAACATAATGGAGTAGTACAAAAAGAGAAGAAGTTGATTTGCTTGCTTTCCTAATAAAACTTAAACACCCAACAAATGTTGAATAGTTAATGAGTTTTTTTTGGTCTTCCCTATTTTATTTTTTCCTTCTTTTATTTATTTTAAATTCTTATCTCCATAACCTATACCTAATTGAACTTTTACTTTAATTAATATTATTAACTCTTTCTCTTTAAATTTTTATATTCATAACCCCCAACTATTTAATTTCAAAATTTAAGATACCTTATGATATTAATTTCTTGAATTTTGTTTATGTAAATTAATTTTTTTTTCATTAGATTCCTACTCAAGATTATTATTTTTATTTCATATTTGAAATGGTGATATTCTATATTATTGTTATAGTATAAGATTTATACTTTAGTTTGACTCCATGAAAAGACTCTTGCATATGGATAGAAGGGGTGCCTAATAAAAGCTCAAAAATAATTGCATTGATTATATAATTTTTATCATCTTTGTTTTTGTGATTAAGGACTTGACAAAATTGTGTTGTTGTTTTTCTCTTTTTACTTACTTTTTCATATATGCTCTCTCTCTATATATTTTTTAAAATTTAGGTTCTTATAAATTTTTTAATTTTACTAAATTACATTTTCATTTAGGCTCAAATTAGTTATTTGTAACCTTGTCAGAACACAACTAACTACGCTAATAAACGTTTAAATTTTATTACTCATGGCTAAAAAATGCATATTAAGTATTGAAATACGAAATTATTAGGTATTTCTTATGGTGAAGAACCATTTAAATTTGTCCATTTCTTCTCCTTCTAATGAATCACCATAATAAGATAAGCTATATACGAAAAATTAGCAATAGAGGTTTATTTAGATGATAATGAAAAATAGAGAATAAAAGAAAAAACAAGGACAAAGAAAGGATTAAATATCGAAGAAGAAATGAAATAGAAATATTTATCTCTATTTCCTCCTATTTTTAGTTTCATCATTTATTTTTCCGAACTAAAGGTAGATTCACTGGATAGTAAATTTATCATTTGACAAAAATAAGAAAAAAAAATCAAGTCCTTAAATATGTTTATCCGAATTTTATGTATTAACATCATAATATATGAATTTTTTTCTTAATAAATTAGTCTTTTATTTTTGAAAAACATTTGATAATAAAAATGTAATTCACTTAATTAAGCTCTAATTCTTCAAAAATATTTGTATTGTGATTTTATCACTTTTCTTATTTTTGTGTTTGATTTTTTATTTTTTGTATCATAATTATTTTTTAAAATAAATTTACATATATATTTCATAACTGCGAGAAGCGCGGCTAAATTCCCTAGTAAATAT